GCAATTTTAACCCACTTGATAAGTAATAGACAACAATGCGATACAATAACAAACATAAACAGGGCATGAGAACCACCACAAGAAAGAACAATTGCTTACCAAATAACAAACTCAAACAAATTAGATAAACACAAACAAGCCAAACAAAAATTAGGGCGTTATCACAGATGATAAAAGAGTCATAAGAACCATATCCAATATCAGTGTGTACAAGTGCTTGCATGGTTATATTTGATACACATCAATAGGCACTAGATAAACAAAGAAAATAAAAAAGAAAAGAAGAAAACGAGGACACAATTGAAAGCATATCATAAAACAATATAGAGTCAGGATATCGTTATACCCAGGAATGCGCAGAGACGGGCATGATGTCTTACATAAGGGGTTGAATGGTTCTTTATGTGACATGATGCTTGCAATGGGAAGTAAGAACCTGCCTCATGTATTACTGAATAAATAGTATAAAGTAAACAAAATTCCTTGTGAATAACGACCTCATGATTGTCCATCATTGCATACAATATACAAAGATGAAATGCTGAGTAATACGACTGAATTGTGTTTTAAGAGCGAGGGTATTTGCGTTTAACCATTTTTTGTAATAATACGCACACACATGCACACACACACATTTATTTTCTTCTTCAAACATATGCACACTTTGGCACACATACCAAGAAAAGAGTGGAATATTGCATAAAATATAAATTCGAACCTAACGAATTGGCTAACAGATGAAGATATTTGAAACGATAGAGCCAACAATATATTCTGTCGCATGATATCTCAATATTATTAATCTAATATAAATAACAAATCAAATTAACATTTAAGACAGTGCTCTGGAAGCCCATATCCTAGCAGCTAAGCTTAATAATGAAAATTCGCATGAAACTATTTTGCGCGGGCCCAATTCAATGTCCAATGTATATTGCATAGATGTTATGATTGACGAAGGGGCGTCCATGGAGAAAATTGGCTGGATCTGAACTATTTTTGCCTGGTTTTGTTATTGTTATTACTGTTGCTTCTTATTAGGTCATAATAATAATAATTCATAGGTCAATGTTTTGATTGGTATGTAACTCTCTTAAAAGTGAAAAGGAGAATTTGATCAAAATAATAGACCGTAATTTGGTTTGTTATACGCAGAACATAACGTCGGAGGCAGATGCAAATGAAACAGTCGTATTATAGACCAGGAACACGTCTCCGAACACTCGTATATATACATATATATATATATATATATATATATATATATATATATATATATATATATATATATACTATTACATGGTCGCAGACAATTACGCCATTGACAATTTCATTGATCAGTATTTATTTAATCTAGATAGCAAGCTCAATCACACATTTATGTAGTGTCGTTATGCTAAATGAACTTGTTTTAATCATGACACGCACACATGAAACCGATATTTTCAACCTAGATTTGACAACAGGATCTTTCAACAGGCGTTGAATTTAAGTATTATTTACTTATTATATAATCAGGCACGGACGACATCCTCTATTTTATTCGACTATACCAGTACCAGTACCAACTCGGTTGGATTGTCGCATTTTCCGGTTATCATGTATTTATTGGTTACAGATTACATTATGTTTAATAGTAGATAAAATGTATATTAGCATTTGTAACGTAATTGAGCTATCATCATTTGAGACTGAAGGGATTTTAAACAAAACAAATACGTACGTGAGTGATAATGAAAAAAATTATTATCCTCTCGCACTAATGACTGTAACATAAAGAAATAGGACACGTAAATAATTATAAAATTACGTAGTATGTATCCAGTGGAAATACTGAAACCTATGGTAGTCTAGCCAAGCCAGTTTGGGTATTTCTTAACTAACAATTTCCTTTAAAAAAGTATACTTACTTTTAAGACTTTGAGATCACATCCACCGTGAATTATTAATTTTGGCCTTATTAACCTAAAGCAGAGGTTGATTTCAGTTTCAAGATTACATATTCGGCCATGGAGGTAGGTGTATAATTAATATATTCCCCAGACGATTGTCAAGCACTCTTTTTCTATCACCGAGAAATTATTTTCCCTTGGAAACAATTTCCTGCTGTCATAGGCTAGTTTGACTCCTTCCTGCTTAATTAGTGGCACAGTCCTAGTCCTATGTCTGAAGCTACGGTTCTTATGATGAGCACTTGTTTTGTTTTGGCAATTTCGGAATGGTGGCTTCTGTTAGGAGATTGTTCTAAACTTCCATACGCAATATTGCTTTTGACCGGTTTTACAGTCAATTTAGCCTTGCATAATCTATCTAGATCCTCAGGAATATCGCGCATATGCTCCTTCAACGAATACTAATTTACTGTATCTTCACTAGGTATCCTTGAGTACACTTGTAAAGCCCTACCTTGCAGCAAAGTGTTAAGGTGTAATGCCCAACCCTCTATTTGAGTTTCTGCTCAGTTGCATATCTTTCGAATCTAAATGGGTAACTAAACAAGTCATCCTTTTTAAAAAAAAATGTCGAAAGTTGTAGGGTTTTTTAAATTACAGTTACGATTCCCAATCGTTCTCCACTCGTAATCTTTCTAACTTTATCTTTTCTCTCTTCCATTCGCGACATTTTATCTTTCTCAATTTTCATCTCCTTTTCAATACACGTACTTAGCTCTAATTTATCATGCTTTTCCCGAAGTCTCTCCTTTTCAATACACGTACTTAGCTCTAAATTATCGCGCTCTTCCTGAAGTCTCTCCTATTCAATACGCGTACTGAGTTCAAATTTATCTACCTCAGTTTCAAGCCTTTTTTTTTCAGCGTGTCGCTCTTCCTCGCGTCGCTCTCTCTTTATTTTGTTCGTCCTTAATAAACCGCCGTAAAGCTTCCCCTTCATATCCCACTTGTTTACAAGCTCTGCCAATTTGCTAGCAGACGACATGATTTTCAGTAGGGTATTATGTAATACGAGTACCCAAATAAATTACTCGCTTCCACGAAGGAAAATGAAGTTCAGTTTCGTTCACAATCTTATATAGTTATTTCCAAAAACCTTCCTGTTTCAAAGATTTTCACTGTCAGTGTCTGATTGGTGATCACAATTAGTAATAACCCAAAAGTATTCTGTCGGACAGAAAGCGTTCCATCGCTGCCACCAAAATTGTAACGTAATTGATCTATCACCCCTTGAAACTGAATTAAGAAATAACAAGCACGTATGTGAGTGACAATGAAAAATTATTTTCTTCTCGTACTAATGATTGTAACAAAAAGAAACAGAATTCTGAAATAATTACAAAGGTATAATGTATGTATCCAATGAAAACAATGATGAAGAACAAATACATAATTATTTATAATATATATTAAGTGTATGACATTGTCTAGAGAGTCAAACACTATCGTGCCTTGTTTCTCTATACTAAACTACTATACTGAGATTTCTCTTCATAGACAAACACTATAATTACATTTCTCGTACCAATGTTTGCTTGACATTTCAAATGATACCCTTGATCCGCTTTACCAGTTCAGTCACTTTAATCACACAAACACACACACACACACACTTGTCGTGGGGGTCTTTCATTACTCCTTACAACAGCGGCCTCAAGCTACATCTAGTTAGCCCGCACCTAGTTAGCCAGCTTGTTAGCTCGAACTAAGCAAACCATAATAGCGATCCCGCTCAGGCAGCTAAACGTACAAAGAGCTTCCCTCTAATGGCTGTCCCAATGAAGGTCCCAATGTTGTCGCGTGCTTTAGTTTGCATCACGCAAGTGACATGCAAATAATGTAGGCGAAACGCGATGCAATGAAAATGAAAACTTTCAAAAAATACCATGGTGTGCCAAACACGTCACCATACACCTTAATAATACTGGAATCTATGGTAATACAGCCAAGTCATATTGGGTATTTCGTAACAATATTTACTAAGGATACTTATTGTGACGATGCGGCACTGATGTGGGCCTGAGCGGATTTGCCACTAAGTCGAATTGTTCGGAGTTTCCTGGTTGTACTGTTGCTGAGATCATTGAAAACGGAAAAACCAGAGACAGCACATCTATTCCGTTTATGAAAATCTATGTTCATGCATCAAATATTGCAATATGGTAATATGTGAATGAACAAAATCGGGCATGTGCCCTCAGCGTGGAAAGCTCATTTATAGGATATTTAAAAGTGTTGACCTGCAAATAAGAGGAAATAACAGATGAGAAAATAACAAATGGCCTAAGTTTGTTTGATACTCTAAATAATGTTGATACACCTAAATCTATCGTTTTAGGAGTGTGTATATCTGGATCGTATTTGTTTATTATATCTAGTTATTATAGCGGATTGAGTAAAACAGACCATTTAGATAACCCTAGCCTGGTAATAGAAATTGAGGTCATTTTGGAACACTCTCAAGCTCACATGCTCACATTAAATGAGATAACACTCCGCGATTGTTTCAACAATGGTAAATCGATATTCACCAATGCATCCACATCGGCCTTACTTCAGCAGGTTCTGTTGACCTTGGTATGGATGGAATCACAGCTAAGACGATAGGTATTATTATCAAATTTATATCGATAAAAAACCGGTCTCTTTGGTAGTGAAAACAATTAATTTAGCTACGAAGACATTCTCGAATACATGTCTATTCAGTTATTTTTACAGCTGCTTTAGGCAGTCTCATCACAATTAGGAAATTTATTCGGCGGCTATCAGGGATAAATCAATTAGCTTGGACATATTTGAAACGGTGTTGCCAGAAATTGAAAATCGCCAACAATTCCGAGCACAGATGAGAAATATTGCTGATGCTGATACACGCCATTACGATTTGGCATTTTGATATAATCAGCGTCATTTGTAGTCGCACAGGTTTCTTTAATGTTGGGATGCTAAGTATACCCTGTTCACTTACATTCTCCCGCTTGAAGAGATCTGTCTCATCCATTTATCATAGTATTTCTTTTTTATCTTTCATTTACTACATGAAGTGACCGCTTCGGTGGCCTAATGGTTATAACGTCCGACTTGGATGCGAAATGTCGTTGGTTCGATCCCCGGCTGAGTGATACCATAAAGTGGTAATAGCAGCTGCCTCTCTTGGCTCTCAGCGTTAAGAGGTTAGTGCTAGGACTGGTCGGCCGTGTGTCAATGTGATTGGGTGGGACATCATTCTACAGGTCTGTGTCATGATGCCCCAGTGCTAGACCTCAGTATAAACAAACACATATAAATTGTAGCGATATGACTGAAATATTGTTAAATCTAAAGTTAAAAATTTAAATCACACACACACTAAATGAAGTTCAAACAGGAAAACTCAAAATAAGAGGTCATGCAATTTTGAGCTTTTTGTGGGCGGAATAGTTTCAAAATTTAAAACTCTAAATTTTCTCAGTTTAGAGCAAATTTTTAAGTGCTACATTTGAGCCAAATTGCGTGAAACATCCGTGCCTGGCCAAGTGGTACTGACTTCAAGATACAAATACAAGCGGTTCGCCCATGTTGTTGGCTTATTATAGTTGTGTACATTACATTTCATCTCTGGAGGTTCACATAATCGATACTTTTAGTATTTCAGTTAAAAAAAAAACAACTAAAAATGTGAAAGACTGCCACTCCCCACCCCTGCTGTCATGTCGATCACAATTTTGCAATGCTAGATGAAAACAAATTAATACAATATTGGAAATGTGTCTTAAACTGTACCTGAACTAGAAAGTGCTAATTATCTTTCAATTGGAGAAAGAATGGTCTGATGTATATGTATCTAGTGAAGATGAAAAGAGGAATGAAATAGACAATAACAGCAAATGGCCATTTGATGACTTAGTATTAGTAGTAGTAGTAGTATTAGTAGTAGTAGCCCCGTCGTTAGATAAAAGGCTTATAATGTTAAAGTTTAATAAGTTCAACTCTCAATGGAGATTCCTTGGCATTTGTAATAGACAAATTACTCCGAGGTTTAAGCATTTGAATTCTTTCCTTCAGATGGTACATTTTAAGGACACTTGTATTCATAATGAACTATTAGCTAGTAACTCTTATTTACAGGCAAACATTGATTGAAATATATTTTGTTCCATTATGAGAAAACATATTTAAATGTATTTTTAAACTAAACCTATTCATCCGATAAAGGTGAGACGAATACACATAATCCTTTGCCATAACAGTTAGGTTTCTATCATTTCAAGTTAAGATTACAACTTTTTAATCAAATTTATGACATTCGTTGCCATGTCTTTGTCATGATGGCTGAAATAGCTCTCTTAAACAGGGCTTGAAATATTCTTTTGGTGATGTGATACTTGACATAAACAAAAATTAACCCAGTTTCTAATGATTTGAATAGGGAATATAAATCAAAAGAAATTAATTAAGACTGATGACCACATGATTGTGCATCAGTGTACACAATGTACGAAAATGCAAGTCTGAGTAAAAATATAGACTTGTGGTTTAATAGCGAGGGTGTTTTCAATCCGAACATATTATAATAATGCACACCTATCTCTTCTTCACCTAATTACTCACACGCACACTTACACATATATAACAAGAGACGAGTGGAATATTGCATACAACATTAATTACGATCAATCGAATTTGGTAAAATGTGAAGGTCTCTGAGCAGAATGAGTCAACAACAAATTCTGATGAATAATGTCTTGCCTGCTTTGCGTGCATGCTACATTGTCGAACATCTTGACATAGCAAATAGAGGTAGAAATGTGTCCTTACAACGTTATTAACGGTGTTAACGTAAGTAACAATTGTAAATGCACACATCAAATTCAATGACGATTCCACAATGGTTAGGAAACTGAGCTAAAGCAACAGTGTCCGGCTTTGTTTGCGAACTACATAATGATCGCTGTACATCTGTCCACCATATTCTCTTGCGCGTCAGATATAAATAACAAATTCGTTGTAAAAGTTATGACAGTGCTCTTGGACGAGTCCACCATCTTGGATGAGTCAACCCACTTGGTTGAGTCTACCATGATGTTAGCTACTAACACTAATAATGAAACTTGAACATTTCTTATTTTGAGCCCGCTGTATAAAAAGTCCGATGTATTCGACAGTAAACAAAAAAATGCGTTAATGTGTGAAAACGTGCACCAGGTTCATGGCTGTTCGAGGGTACATGGGTAGGGTAATCGCACTAAATAAAGACGTTGATATCTGAGAAAACATCTCAGAGGATGTGAAATACATTCTCTGTGGGAGGACAGACAAATTTTATCTCCCCAACTATAGCTGAAGTGGATTTGATAAGGGCTGTATTAACTCCACATGCTAGAAATAGGTCATGCCGATAAATTAATTCTGTTTAAATCAATGCGTGCATATGTACTCTTTTACCTTCCTTGGTAACAAATTATGTTAAACTGTATCTCCCCATATCTCACACACAAGATATACGCCCAGCAATGACAAAAAACAAAAAAAAAAAAACAAACATAGAAAACTAAGCCTTAGCAATGCTGGACCTCATCAATAACAATCTTCGCATTACCTGGAAAAGACCAAATTTAAAAAAAAAAAAACATCAAAAGGTCTGAATGACCTTTATCTTCAAAAAGAAACTAACAAAAAAGGTTCTTATAGGTACATTTCCGACACGATATTATACCCCATTTTGAGATAGTAGTTTCAGACTACTAAGGTACAACTTTCAAACTAAACAAATTCCACACTTAAACGGAGTACCATAATAAGATACTAATAACTAGACCGAGTAGTCTAGGGAACATTATTTTACATTTCATTGTGATCTCACCTCTATCTACGTTTATTTAAATCCTGTGCATGACTAGTGTGGGTATGTGAGAAAGCTTGTCAGCTTCTTTCCATGGGACGGTGCTTATCGCGGTGTTCCATGTTTCTTCCTCGACAAAAAATCCCGGGTGCCATATAAAGATTATGATGTGCGGAAATTGGGCCTGAAACCCAAAGCAGGAAGGTACTGCTTAAAATCATAGATACACAAACAGTATGAAAAAGGAAAAGAGGATTATTCATCGGTACAAGGAAGGGACGTATATTTTACAGGAGCTATGCTATGACGCACCACGTGCGATTTAAAAGTCTGCAAAAGAGCCGCATAAAATGGAGACGATACCTAAATACAAAGACAATATAAACAAAATGGAAATAACAATTAAAGTTAAAGGACAAAGTTTCACTCTATAAAAGATGCAGCTGCAAGCACACTATACATAAATACAAGCACTAAGATCCGTCTTACTACTATACAATTTATAGATAACATAGACAAAGGAAAATTGTTTTAGATCAACCCTAAATCAGCATGCCGCAAATATAAATAATAGCTGAAAATTATATATGGATACTATTTTGGGTATCACGACATTTTAAGGAACAAAGGTCAGCCAAAGCTGATAAATAGATCCACTTAACCTTAAAGAAGAGAAAGAAACTTTCTTTCTGTATTGCAGGTACGCATGAAATACAATACTACTATTATTATTATACACTTACTATATAACCTTGCCTTCTACTTTAAGACGTGGCATATTGCCAATCAATTTTACGCTATAACGAAATTGAATCAATAGGGCATAGAAAAACATGTTCATTCACGTAATGTTTTAAGCCATTTGCTAGGACACACTATATCAATTTGCATCTAATAGGAGCCGAATCACGCTCCGGGTTGAAATGCACGCGTTGTGGAGCACTAAAACATGATACATGTATTGAAATAAGGGTATTTGCGTCATTCACTCTTTATTTACGGATCATTTAATCAATGGTTATGTTTCCTTTTTTACGTGGATAATATATCTCGATTTCTTTTTTTTCTTAAGGCACTTATTAGTGTGTCATACATGAAGTATAAAAATAGTTCAATCCAATAGATGAAGAGTTTTAGGATGTGAAATAACACCATTTTGTTTTCTAATGCAGCAATCAAAGAAAAAGCAGAAGAAATATCCTTCGTATAAGCAGCAAGAGATAGAAAACAACAAATACAGAAAATGTGTATAGAGGCATTACCTAATTACAAATCGTAACTATAACTTATATTATCGAATAATAAGGTCTTTAAAGACTTATTTTTATATCACCATATATTATATATCGTATCGAGAAAATATTTGCTGTTGATAAATGTAAAGTGATGAAAGAGTGTCATGTCATCTGTCTCTACACTGATGAATAATTAAAAATATATAAGAACTGATGGACAAAATCATATTTACTTTTAATATGTGTTGGATTGTTTGTGAGTTACATTCCAAAATGACCTCCAAATGTCTTGACAGACATAAACAAACGAATATATCTTGACTGAGTTTGTATTTAGATGTAGGCATAGAAGATATCACGATCATTGGAAATATTTGATAGCTTTTATATTATTTGCTACTGTGCTATGATTATAGTCTGTTCATTATGTTTATTCTGAATTTTTCAAAAGTCACTTTCAATGGTTGGTCAAATCACTTTCTGTAATTTTTATTTATATGAAGACATTCGCTTACATCTAGCAGATATGTATATATATATATATATATATATATATATAGATATATATATATATATATATATATATATATATATATATATATATATTAAGTAAATAAATAAAACAATAAATTTGATAAAGACCATATCTTTAAGGTTGAGATAATTTCTCAGTAAAGAATGTTACCATGAGTTCATTACAAGCTTTTGGTAATACTTACGTTTCACATGTACATAACATGAAGTGGAAAGGGCGATAATTACTGAATCTATGCTTTACACATTGTAAGTTATTAATATTATATATATGTTTATTCTTCAACAAGAACATTGGTTTTTGCAAAAGTGCATAATTAGATAATTGTATTCCGAATATTCGATTTAAATATTTGGAAAGAACAGAGAGGAAAGACTATGCTTTTTGACTTAGCCAGTTTTTCAGCTTCTCAACGAATGTCAACAAATTATGTGTTTAATAAGACAGGCTAATAGAGGAGGCAGTGGTGCACGTAAATGTATGACAGTTCACAAGTGTCCATATGACACTGATCGCTGCCGCCACAATAAC